AGATGGGACATCCCCCAATTGGTGTCTGAGTAGGCAATGAAACCCATGGTGGAAGATAGGTGAATATGTATGTCAAAGTCAATAGTCCCCCAAATATATTTAACAATGCGCTTAAGAGCATGAAAGTGTGGCTCTTGAGGTCGTACATGTGTATTTGTGACAATTGATGACACGACACGACAAAAATACACGACACAAAACAACATTGGGACGAAACTAACATTCCAATTTTTGTTCGTGTCAAGTTTAAAAAACACGATGTCGTGTCCATGTTCAAAATTTGACACGAAAGTGACATGATTTAGCACTTGTGTGTCGTGTTTTCCGTGTTTGTCATGTTATGTACGGTTAAATATTAATTAAATAAACTAATTGTTATATTATGTTGATATGCACAAAAGTACCTACTAGTTTTAAATTTATATCCTAACTAACTTAAATAACTAATATGCATCTAGGCAGTATACCTAGTCGGATTGTAGTGTAGTTTAAGTAAATTGAGGTCGAACACAGGGAACGGATTTAATTAGCTAAAATAATTACTCTAAATTCATCTAAAATCAAACAATAATTTAAAAGATTTTTATCTAATTTTTCAAGTTTAGATGAACTTAATTTATCAACAACTATTCAATCAAATTATAAAAAACACTTCTGTTAGTTTGAATTCACTTTCCCTCAATAGTTTAGTTATTAATTATGATAATTCTCATTGGTTACCAATTAAAATATTATTAGCAATTCAATTTTAAATTAACTAATATTGAATTAATTCATGTAGATCTATGCATAGTCACACAAAATTACCTATTAAGTAGAATTGGGGTTATGTAAGATTGAGTTAACAAACACAATTATGTTCATAATATGAGTTCTCCAGCACAACCAAATTCAATACTTCAATTACTTATCCAAGATTGGTTCAATCTTAGCTCTAATAATCTAATGTACACTAAATTACTAGGTATTCAAATTGATACAGATTAATGGTTACTAACTACACAAAATAAGAGTTTAAAGCAATCTAGTATCAAATTAAGCATGCTAGGTATAATCAATCAAACACAAGACATTAACCAACAAGAAAAGTCTAAGGTATTATAAACAAACCATGAGTTCCAACTTCATCTAGCTAACATAAGCAACTAGATTTAGCTACTCATACTAACAAATAAACTAACACAAGTGATAATTGAAAAGCATCATAAAGTACCAAACTAGGAAGTAAGTTATGAACTTCTTCTTCTTCCTTGGTTTTCAAACCAATTTCCTAGCATTCTAACCTTCTGAATATCGACTTTTGGAAACCTTTTTTCACAACCAACCTCCCAAATTCGTAGAGATCAAGGGTATTTATAGTTGTCAAAAAATTAAATTCCACGTCGTGGAATAGTGCTCCACGTCGTGGGCATGGATGAATCCTTATCAGGCAAGGATTTCGACTTTGTGTGTACTCATATTCCAGAATTTTCCTTTTCCACATTGTGTAAGTGATATCCACGACGTGGACACAACTATTTTTGTGGGTTTTATCTTCTTCAATCTTCCAAGCCTCCAAAGTTTCTTCTTGTTCCACTTTTAGTCCTTATTCTTCAAAATGACTTATTTTGGTTGCAAAATACAATTTAATCTTATAAGTACGATTATTCCATGCAAATAAAAAAAAATATGTATAAAAATGTATTCAAATATTGCCTAAAGGTATGTATAAATATGCCAATATCAAAATATCCCACACTTATTCTTTGCTTGCCCTCAAGCAAAATTATTTATTTTAATTCAAACCTTCATCACCAACATCACATAGAACAATCCATTTCGATTTCAACCATTATACCAATACCTCAATGCACATATTTTTGTCTATAATTCCTAAAACTTCCCACTCCTAAATACTCACAATCCTTATGAACTTTCATCCCTTAGTTTATATGACACACATTTCTGCAACCCTCCCAATCAATTCTCAAAACTCTTTCTTAGCCTGAAGGTATTATTGGTTAAGCTACCCAGACATACATAATCTAGAAATTACAACTTTAGATACCAAAATGGAGCTCTTGGAATTCTTCATTTCTTTGATATCTGATATTTGGTTTCTTTGAATTCATCACCTTTCTATTTAATTTTTGGTATCTTCATACTTGATAACTCTAAAATTCTTCAACTTTTCGATAATTTCTCTCTTTTTTCATGTATCTCACTTTTTTTTCACTCAAATCCTGCATGCTTAAGCAAGGGTGCTTAAATTCAACTTTTATTGTCTAAATGTATTAGTCTATGTGCAATGACTACATAAGCTTTCCTGGATAGATTTCAGGTTTAGGCTGGAAAATATATTATGCCATAAAAACTACTAAATTACTTTTTCATATCTCATGGATTTTCACTAAGACTTGGGAAGCCACAAATATACTATAACATGTATTGACTCGGTTAAACATTTAAACTCTCATCGGATCATCCCATATAACACTAGTAACTTAAGTTCAAATTATTACTAGATTTAATTATTAGATTATTATTTCAAATCTATTAAAAAATTTAACTTACTAATTTTCTAGCAATTTACTTTTTCTACCCCTACCCCACGCTTATTACATACAATGCCCTCATTGTATACATAAAATAAATTAAAAACAAGAAAATGGAGAAAAAGGAACAAATTTCCATGAGGTAGTAGTGGCGAGATTGAATTCTTCACGTGTGAGTAACTTGAACATCCTGAACTAGGACTTTTTCAAATATGGAACTTGAAATTTCAAGAAATGAGATATGTAAATGTGCCGACAAAATTTGAAATCGAGAGTTCAATCTTCAACAAATGTAATGTAGAAAAGCTTCAAAACATAATAGACCAACATGGGAAAACATACCCCACATGGAATGGTGTATAAAAGAGGGAAAATTGAACTCTTGCATTCCACGTCGTGGTCTAGAATTACATGGCATGGTATCGAATAATTTCATTTTCTGGAATCGCGTATTGATCTCAATCCACGACATGTAATTGGTTTCCACGTCGTGGAAACTGGGCATCACAGAAAGCACTTTTTTTTTCTAAATAAGTGTAATGTAAACTTGTGTCTTAACATATTAAGACCCTTCTGAACTGCATATATCTTAACTCTTTCCTAACTCACTTCTCTCTTGATTAACCCCACACTTATCTAAGATCGTGAGTCTCAACTCTCGACTCTAAATGACACGGCTAATCATGTTAATACTCTCATATCTCTAAGGTTCCTTAGTCGCGTTTTTCTTTAACCAATTCTAAAAATAATAACCAAAAGAAGTAGACAAGAAAATAACAATTTAAATGGTCATTACACAACCAAATTAAACTAAAATGAAAACACACAAACCAAAAATAAACTAAATGAAATAAAAGAAATAAAAGGATAAACTAATCATCTTCTTCATCATGATGTGTTCCACTAGTTCCCACACCATCTCCTTGTCGTGTCTATAATTCTCCCCATGTTGGAACGTACGGGCATTGGGGAGGCATCATAGGTGGTCGAACCAAATTCATATGTGTAAACATGGTTTCTAGAATTTGAGTGTTGTAAGTCACTCCCCCGTGAAGATTGTCCAAATACAAACCAACTCGACTTTAAAACGGGTCGGTCGATATATCGCCCTCAAACTGCTTGGGTGGTGGTTGTGATTGTTCCCTTTCTCCTCGACCTCTCGTATTCCTTCGCCTTGGCCGAGGTTGTTATTCTTGTTTCCCAATTTTTTGCTCTTCATCTTCCGGTGGTATCATATAAACTGTGACAACCCAAACTTTTTTATCTTGAAAGTCAATTCAATCAACCAAAAGTCAGAATAAATGCGTTTGCCTTTCTGTCTTGTTAGGGGTCATTCTAATGAGTCCAAAGCCTAGTACACTTATGGAATAGAAGTTGAAAAGTGTTAACTTAGTATTGGAGGAATGAAATCGAGCCAGAAAACCCAACACATGGGGTTTAAGGCCGTAAACACCCTCATATCCGTGAACTACCCCCAATATAGAATAGTTGGCTTCATTTTTCTTCATTTCTCTAAGTCTTGGTTGTAAACTACCCATTCTCTCTCAAGTATCATCTAAGAAAAGCTCTCATTTGACTCCATAAATCGTAAGTGTTTCATCCTTTACTTATTCATGCTTAACAACCCCTTTGTTCTGACCTTGATTCATCACTCTAAGACACCATCTTCATGACCTTCAAGATCTTGAAGGGTTTACTGCTGTAAACCCTTTAAAGGATCTTGGGTCGTAAACTCCCTAAAGCCATCCAAAGTATGAGAATTCCTTCTATCATCTTGTTGTGCATTAGACACACTAGTATCCCCATGGATCAATTACCCCTTTTGCATGTTTTTCCATGAGTGTACGGCCGTACACTCATTGGCTGTGAACTCATGGTCGTAAACTCAAGTGTGGCCGTGAACACACCTCCCTTTGGCCGTAAACTCCCTTTAGTCAATCACATGTGATTGTAACACTTCATAGCAAGTGTTTCCTAGTCCCTAAGGGTGATTTCTTGCATGTTACTTGTTTAAAATACTACTTTCATGCCTACATATGCCATTATATGTCCTTTAGGATGCGTTTGTGTCTCGAGAATTCATTTGTGGCACTTCTCATCCATACACAAATCTACAATTGAATCACCCACATAAGGTGAGTTCATACCCCTATAAGCAATCTTCACTACAAGAAAAAGACCCTTTTATGACGTGAAAACCACGACACTCATTGATTTATGTTACACAAAGAAAATGACATTAAAAAAGTGTCATCTCTTAAAAAAAAATAAGGATTTAGGTCACGCAATATTGCTTGCCCTTAAATTAGTGTCTAGCGGTAAGGAGTGACTCTCTCAAATGAAAAGTCATGGGTTCAAGTCTCACTAGGAGATATAGGTGGTGTTTAGGATTTAGTTAGGTGTAGAATAGTTTGCCGTTCAAAAAAAAAAAATTAAACAAATTAAAAACACAGAGGGCACTTGTGCATCCTCTGTCAGTGTCGTTTTATATAGGGTAAATTACACGGATGGTCCCTGTGGTTTGGGGTAACCTACGCGCCTAGTCCCTGAGCAAGATTTTTAACTCGGATGATCCCTAATGGTAAAATTCATAACCCTCCTGGTCCTTCACTTAACATCCCGTCTAGTTGCTCCGTTAAAACACCCCACGTGCAAGGCACGCAGGGGTATTTTTGTCTTTTTAATATTCTAGTCTTAAAACACCCCACTTGCACGCAGGGGTATTTTTGTCTTTTTAATATTCTAGTGTTACCGCCATGTTGTATACGAAGAGGCGATCATTTTGCTCTGTACTCCATCTTTTCATTCATAAAACCCAGAAAAATTTCAACATTCCGATAAGAAAACCCTAATCGTGATATCTTCTCCTCTAAAACGCAATGGTGTTATGGCGTATACGTGCAAATATGGAGGAAATCGATGTTGGACGTCGTTACTGTAAGTATTCTCTCACTCTCAATCTTCTATAACTTGGATTTTGTTGAAACCTTATCTGAAGTGGGCTATTTCACAGGGGGGCATCCGACAATCTTTTCCATTAGGTTATACCATGGTGGAGAGTTCACCAAATTTCCTGGAAGAAAGTACATCAAAGGAAAACAAACGTATATAGACTTACTCGACATGGATACTTTCTCAGTGCATGACATTGATGAAATGATGGAACAGTTAGGCTATGTTGATGAAGGTATACCTTTGTACTATCACTTTAAACGACCTTTTTCAGATTTAGATTTCGGGTTATTTGCTTTGGGTAGTGATCAGGATGTGAGACATCTGGGTACCTTCATTTCCAAGCATAAGTTGATTGAAGTCTATATTGAGCATGGAAAAACCCAATTACATACGTACACAATGTCCCCAAATCAAGCAAAAGTTCAAATAAAGGAAATTATTGAACCTCCATCATGTTCTCGTAGGCTTTTCTTAGATTGGTATGATACTGGGGAGACAAATGTTGTTGGGGATGCTTCTAAATAGGCTAATGTAATGGACGTCACTGGAGATGACAATATGGACATAACTGATAATGGGGATAATAACAAGGAAGGAAATCCATGCGTTGAAGTTGAAATTGGGGACAAATTTGAGCACACGAATGAAGTTGAATTTAGGGATGGTAACAAGGGTGGAGAAGATCCATGGTCTGAATTTGAAAGTGGGGACATGTTTGAGGACATAAACGAAGAAGAATTTGGAAGTGGGGACAACTTTGACGATGATAGTGGTTATAAATCCAGTGAGTCCGATGATATAGACTTTTATGTTGACAATGACAACATCTTAGATGATGTAGAAGTTGACATGAATGATTTCAATGATAACATTGATATGGATGCAGAGTGGGTTGGAGGTATGAATGACAATGTGGTACAAGAAGAGAATGAAGTTGGAGAGCTTAATGAAGCACTAAATAACGGGGTACTTTTGTCAGGATCATCTTCGGATGAAGGTCCAGTTGGTCAACGAAAGAAGACCATCAAAGCTATCCAACGAGCTCATGAGAATGATGAAGCAAATGTCGCTGAACCATTTTATATCCTTCAAACCTTTAATACAGCCCAAGAGTCTAAAGAAAGAGTTAAATTCCATGCTATTGAGACAAGAAGGGAACTTGGTTTTGAAAAAAATGACTAGAATAGGGTAAGAGTTGTGTGTAGGGGGACAATACCAAAACTGGGAAACTTAGACAAAAGTGGGGAAGGTCAACAAGAAGTCAACAATGAAGATGAAGATAAGTGCCTGTGGAGCCTCTACGCTAGTAAATGGAAACGTGATATAAACTGGATGGTCAAGTCTTACAACAAAGAACATTGTTGTCTCCAAACTCGGAATGTTAAAGCGTGTACTTATAAGTTTCTTGCCAAAAAGATTACAACTCAGGTGGAATCTAACCCAACTATTCCAATTCGTGCTTTACAAGAACAACTGCAACGTGATTACCAAGTGGGACTTTCCAAGATGAAAGTGTTTAGGGCTAGAACTGAAGCTCTCAATCAGGTGCGAGGGGATTATGTTGGTCAGTATGCTCTATTGAGAGACTATGTTCAAGAACTTCAAAAACATAACCCAGACACGACTGTAAAGATTGATGTAGAGAGTGAACCAAATCCAAATTCAGAAACTAGAACTTTCAAGCGCATATACATCTGTCTTGGTCCTTTAAAAAAGGGATTTGCTGCTGGAAGAAGAGACTTTCTTGGTCTCGATGGTGCTTTATGAAGGGTCCATACCCAGGACAAATACTTTCAGCTGTGGTAACCTTTTTTCATATGAACTACATTTATATTATAAAAAGTTGTATTTTAGGTTATTGATGGTGCTTTAATTGTAAATTTTTTACTTGTGTAGGGAATTGATGGTAATAATGGAACATATCCACTGGCTTATGCTGTTGTGGAATCTGAGAGTACCAACTCATGGACTTGGTTTCTAACTTGTCTAGGGGATGATTTGGGTTTAGGAACAAACTCAAATTTTACGTTTATGACAGACAGACAAAAGGTATTAATTCGAATATCAAATTAATACATTATATATGATATACTTTTAATACAATTTTCCATTATATAGGGAGTGTTACCTGCTATAGCAAAGTTGTTTCCATGCGCTGAGCATCGTTATTGTCTTCGTCATATCCATGAAAACATGAAAGCTAATTGGAGGGCAAAGCAATTCAAAGACTTGCTATGGGATTGTGCAAAAGCATCTACTATTCAACAGTTTCAACGATCAATGGAGGAACTTAGAAAACTTAATAATGATGCGTATGAGTGGCTTAAAAACATTCCTCCTCAACATTGGTCTCGTTCACACTTTATAGGTAGATTTTAATGTTAGATCATTAGTTTATAGTTGTGCAATATGTGTGAAACTCTAAATAGCTCATACATATTTTAATGATTTATTAGGTAGAGCTCATACAAATGCTATGCTTAACAATATGTGTGAATCTCTAAATAGCAAGATTGTTGAAGGTCGTGATGTACCAATCATTACATGTTTGGAGTACATTAGAGAGTACTTAGTGAAGAAAATTGTAACTGTGCAAAAGGAAATTGATAAAGCTGTAGGTCCCTTGACTCCTACAGCTACCATATGGGTTGAAAAACTGAAGAAAGAGGCTTCACAATTAAGGTCTGTTTTCTGTGGGAATGGGAAATATCAAGTCAGTAAAAATCTTTTGGAACAATTTGTGGTAGATATGGGCCAAAAAACATGTTCATGTAGAAGGTGGGAACTAATAGGGATACCATGTGCACATGCAATAGCATGCATGTGGGAGATGTTGAAGAACAAAGAAATTGATAAGATAACCGAACATTGGGTCCATCGAACGTATTGGTTAGAAACATGGAAGAATATGTATTCTTTTACAATTCACCCAATCAATGGAAGGAACATGTGGGAGAAGTCTACATGCCCTACAACCTTACTCCCTCCAAAACACCATGTGCCCATTGGAAGACCAAAGAAAAAGAGAAGGAGATCTACCATGGAGGTTGAGGATTTGGTGAAAGGTAACCAATTATCAAGAGCACAAAAATCAGTAACATGTTCTAAGTGTAACAAAAGTGGGCATAATGCAAGGACTTGCAAGGGACAGAAGGCTGGTGGTTCTCAAACTTCAAGGAATGTTGGTGGATCACAAACTTCAAAGATTGTTGGTGGTGCTGGTAGTGAAAAAGTGAAGGTTGGAAGTGAAAAAGTGAAGGCTGGTGGATCACAAACTTCAAGGAATGTTAGTGGTGCTGGAAGTGCAAAAGTGAAGGATGGAAGTGCAAAAGTGAGGGCAAGTGTTAGCAAAAAAGGAAAAGGTGTCCCATAAATGTGGCTTTTAGGTGCTTATGTATTGTTTTGGTTGATGTTGACAAACATTGTCTTCTTTTGAACTAATTTATGTGTTGTGATGGTTATGTTGATTGCTTTTGAAAAACAATGGTGTAATTATAGTATCCAGTTTTAGCAATGTACTTTACCTTTGACAAACAATGTAATCTTTTGATTGCTTTTATTTTGGTCATCTGTTTTGCTTATTTTGGTCATCTGCTTTTGGCATTGCTTTTATTTTGGTCATATGTTTTGCTTTTATTTTGGTCATCTGCTTTTGTCAATGTAATCTTTTGATTTCTTTTAGCAATGTAGTTTAACCAATGTCCTAAGATTCATCACAAATTGTAAAATACAATCAAGTTCAACAAAATATCATTTTCATTGATAAAAGGGTACCCTTGATACAAATAAGATTCATTACAAGGCATTGTAAACAACTGCATCTACTTCAGTTGATCTTAAAACTAACACTACAACTTGTAAACAACTATCCCAAAAAACAAAAACCAACTGATTATTAACAATGCCTTCAGATTCCGATTTTGGACCTCAAGTTCTTGAATTTGGATTTCAAGCCCCTCATTTTTTATTTCCGCCTCATGACCATGCTTTTCTTCATCTACCCACTTAATAAAGCCAGACCTTGGTCCCTGTACTGTGAATAGCTTCGATTAGCACATACACATACTAGGGTTACAATAGAAAATCCCCCAAAACAATTCCAGCATCGTACCTCTAATGGGCAAGCATAAAATGCCCTACATGGGTTTCTTTTCGTAGTTGAAGTACGTATAACGCCTATCGCACCACAATTGCATTTCACCATGTTTGATCGGCTGTGAGAAGAAAGGTGGGAGGAGAAGACTGCGATTGAGAAAGAAATAAGGGAATGAAGACAAATAAGCCATGTTTAAAGAAGACTAGAATATTAAAAAGACAAAAATACCCCTGCGTGCCTTGCACGTGGGGTGTTTTAACGGAGCAACTAGACGGGATGTTAAGTGAGGGACCAGGAGGGTTATGAATTTTACCATTAGGGATCATCCGAGTTAAAAATCTTGTTCAGGGACTAGGCGCGCAGGTTACCCCAAACCACAGGGACCATCCGTGTAATTTACCCTTATATATATATATATATATATATATATATATATATATATATATATATATATATATATATATATATATATATATATATATTTTTAAGAAACGCGCGTTTTCTGAAAACTAAAATCCCCAATTTTTTTAAACTCTCACCTTCTTCTCCCTCATCTCCACCCCTCACCCACATTCAGTGCCTTCAATCCTCGTTACCTCGAAGAACGCTTCATTTACCACCATCGTGAAGGGGTAACCGAAGGAAACCCTAAATCCCTCTCACAGTCAACCACTACAACCCTAATCCTCTTTTCTCCACAATCTTCTAGCTCCCTTCTCATGTTCAGAACAATCCAGCGGACCTCATCCCAGAGGAGGATAGAATCGTCCGCCATGTTCGTGAAGCCCTCCTCCCACACAGCATCGCCACCGGTGGTGGCCCACTCATCCTTAACCATGTCACGTATAAACCCAATAGAGGGAATCTCATAGTGGAGTACCTTGGATCTAAAAACGAAAAGATCCTCTCTCTCTCTCTCTCTCTCTCTCTCTCTCTCCTCTTTAAGAAGAAGGGTGACACTCAATTCAATATTTTGAATCGAGAATAAAGAAGAAGATCAATATCTGGATCAAGATGGGTTCTTTTAATTCGATATCTGTCTAATATTACATATTAAATGCACTCTAAGGAATAGATTGGGAGTAATTAGGTATTCGAGAGTTGACATTTTCTGTAAGTGGCTCGAGTTCATGTTTTCTCCCTCCTTTCAACTATCTCACAACATACACAAATCGAATGCCATAAATTTTATTTATCTGCTCGCTTTTCGTTTCTCTGTATCTATCTTTGCCGCTAATATCGGATCTGTTACTGAATTTTCAATTCAATTTTTCTTTATCTGATTTGTTTAGTTTAGCGTGTAATTTTAGTTTTGTTTCTGTATATGATTATCACATCTGTTAGAAAAAATATAAATCTGTTTGAGATTTTTTATTTTGCAGTGTCGATTGTCTGAAGCAAGCGGAGGAGACAGATGAGAGTTTAATTTTGTTGATTCGGTGTACAGGTAATGTGGTTAATTGTATATATTTTTATCTTTTATATATACACATTTATACTTTTCATCGTTGATATGCAATTACAAAGTGCAAATCTGTTAGGATCTGATTCTGCTCAGAATTCTTAATCCATTCGCCCTAGGGTTTATGAAATCTGGTTATGAAATTAAACTATATAAAGTACTGTTTGTTTTTGGCTGAAATTGTAACCTATGAAATTGAAAGTTCACGTTTAGAATCTGCATTGAGAGTTACTTCAAAATCTACCCTTCAAAAGTATTTCCTAGAATATTCGAGTTCTTATTTTTAAGAATTATAGCGGTAGTTATGACTTATGACATATTCTTAATTCCAAATCTACCCTTCAAAAGTATTGCCAATCTTAAAAATTCATTTTTCATATACAGGAACAAGGAAGTCGAAAGAATGAAAGACTTACATACAATTGCAAGTGATATTCTTAGGCTTTTAAGTCAGGTAAAATATAATCTTTCAATCTTTTTTATGTTCTTGAATTTTACATTTTCGTTTTACTAATATTGTCAAATGTATCATAGGGTTCTTCTACAAATAGATGAGTTGCTTCTACTCTACACTGTTTAAGAATAAAAAGCTCTTAATATTTTCTTGTTAGTTTTATGAATGTTACTTTAATCAAATTTGTGAAATTTTTGAAAATAATTGAGTCATTAAGGTCTTACCGCAGGAGCTGCTTCCAGTGCCCCATCAACAGCTGAATAATATTTCAGAGAGTAGTTGATCATTTTATAGACAAGAAATGGCAACGTAGTTTCTTTGCTGTGTTTGACTGAAGAACATCAAACATATGCAAGGAAAATGGCAATCAAAAGGATTATAGACTCTTATAAGCAGTTAAGAGGGGTAGAGTTTAACTACTTTTCTTGATTCTCCTTTGGGGAAATATTCTTATCTTATGTAGCTGGTATTAGGTGCTGAGTTGTCAATTTGTGGGGCCAATGAATAAAGACCTGAAGGGTAGGTGTGCTACTGCTATCTTTAATCATCAACTCTTTTATGGTAATGGTGTATATGTATTGGTTTGAAATACTTGATCCATTTTCAGATGGGAAATCAGGAAACATCAGTTAGTGGGTCTCAAATTTCAGAGTCAGGAACTTCTAAAAGCGAGTCAATGTCACCTGCACAAGCTCAACAACACATTTCTTTGTTTTTTGCTTTATGCACCAAAGTTTGCATTCCTACAATGACTTCTTTGCTTGTGTTTTGTTTTATTGTTTCTGTTTGTTACATACTAATGCTGATTTTTGCAGAAACCTAGTCTTCTTCAACTTGTATTTGACAAATATGATCATGCTTCAAAGGCAGTTAAGCAGGTGGGATTTTTTTTCTTGTTGAAACTTTATGATAAATAGAAGTTTTGATTAATTGTGTTTCACTTTCTTTCTGATATAATGCACAGGCTATTCATTGCCATGTTCCTATACTTATCCAGGCTTTAGGCCCATTATATTCTGATTTACTCTCCATAATATCCGATCCACCTCAAGGAAGTGAAAACCTCCTGACACAGCTGTGTTTAATTAATCTTTAAAGATTTTGTTGTATGTTTTGTTTTGTACTTTTGTTGTGTTGATACAATTTTATGGTGGGGGTTGTACAAGGTGCTTCATGTTCTATGTAAAGGGACAACTCCATCCACATGTCCCTTCTATTTTTCCTTTTTTACCCTTTTAGAACATAAAACACCATTCAGACTTACCTGTTTCAAAATCTATTTCTGGCTCTTATGTACCCTCTTCTTTTCGCCTGTAAGTCAATAAGCAATTTGAGGAAGGCTGCAGCTCAGGAAGTGGTTGACAAAGTGAGGCATCACAGTGGTCTGTTGGTTGATCAGGTGCTATAATAACTTATTTCATGCATATTTTTTCATGCCATTGAAGTTAAGTTGTAGGCTGCAGCTCAGGAAGTGGTTGACAAGATATAGTGTACGTGTTCTTGTGTCGCTATTGTGGATTTGGGAACATCCTCGCTTACTGGTCCAACTGTATGCATCTCACATGAGGCTTCTGTTAGAACTATTAATCTCAATGATTTCAAGTTTTTCATATTTCTTGTATCTAATTAGTTTGAAAATTATATTACAACTTCTATTGATTTGTTTTATCTTTCCATGCAACGATTATTTGTATGACATTAAATTTTATGCAATGAATTGGATTTTTTTGTATATGATATTTTATTTTCTATTATGAGATATTAAATGCAAATTTAATTTTAAAATTAGTAAATCTATAAATAATTTTTTTTAAACATTTAAAATTACGATACGCAAAAATGTGTGTCATCTTCATTTATGACATGACCTTTCTTGACAAGGGCTTTAATGATACACAACGCGAGTCGTAAATGCGCGTCGTAAGGTTACGACAAGCAAATGCGTGTCATCTTCCTTTATGATAGGGCCTTCCTTGATACACATTGCATGTCGTAAATGAGCGTCGTAAGTGTGTGTCGTAACTGCGCGTCGTCTATAGACAACATGCAAAAACGTGTCGTCTTTCGTTATGACAGGGCTTTTCTTGACATGCATTTGCACGTTGTCTGAGCGTTTTATGAAACGCATTGCGCTTCGTAAAAGGCTGTTTTCAAGTAGTGCTTTTAAATGTTTTTAAATGCTTTGAAATGATTTTAGAGGGGAAGAGGGGGGGGGGGGGGGGGAATAAAAGTTGAACACAATGATAATTGTGTAAATGTTATTTGTGATAAAATTCATATTCAAAGGATTTCTTATACTTTGAGGAAGTTCACGGGAGACATTCCTGACATAAAAGGGGGGGGGGGGGATACAAGTTGAACACAATGATAATTGTGTAAATGTTATTTGTGATAAAATTCATATTCAAAGGATTTCTTATACTTTGAGGAAGTTCACGGGAGACATTCCTAACATAATTCCAATCTCAAAGTTAAGGATGGATGAGAATAAG